GGACATGTGTATAAGTCTTAGGGCAACTCCTTGTGAAAAGGCACTTCTCGGAATGGTAACTCTTCGCGAAAAGGTACGAATCTACAACCATATTTGTAGTGCTCTGTGTGGTGAAGATGATGGTGCAACTCTCCAGCTGAATTGAGGTCTCTAGCTAGCTCAAAAGTCCACCTCAAGTGAGCTATGAGCTCGGGGGTCAGCTGGCAACTTTGTCCCAAAATGTTCTTGAGCTGTCCCGGAGTTGTCCTAGTCACGTTTCTTTAGCTCGTTGACTCCGATTCTAGCTTTAAGTCGGCTCCCTTTATGTGGCCGAACATGCACCTACAAAAGGAAAGCATAATATAAGCTAAGTATTTGAAGTAAATAACTTATAATATAAAGATGTGACCTGTAGGTTAAAATAATAACTCATGCATCATATGATAATGAATGAATATTATTACAACTATAGATTATATCAATCAATGATGCAAACCATATAATGAATGAATGCACATGTTATGATAATTCAAGTATAGTCTAATCTGCAAATGTATGCTCATAATAATATATAGAGCATAAATAAGTAAATATAAGATAAAGTAAGGTAGAACTCCCTTAGAACCAGATTTGAATATCATCCATGGTGTGATCAAGTCATGGAGAAAATTGGAGCTAGACATGATCACATCACTATGTAAATAAAGTCTCTACACATTTGAGTTGTATTAAGGGTTTATTTATATGAAAAAGTTTTTTTTTAAAAATTATAAGATAGGTGTAAGTTGAAAATAGAGTTATTTAAGTTTAAGTTAAAAGTCAAGCGTCATATAAAGAAATATATAACTTCTTTTTAAGAAAATGTATTCTTTGTATCTGTTTGATTATGTTTAGAGTTAAGATTGGTTCCAATAATATTATCTTTGAGGTTCATATTTAAACATGAATTCTTTCATTAGTGTGTAATGTGTGTATCATACAACCAAAACTCATTAATTTACTATCTTTCTTCTTGTTGATGGGAATAATTTAATTGTGTTGGTTATAGACGGTTTATCCCCTCTTATTTAGACGAAGAATTGTAATTGGTAGTTTATTGTCATTGGTGGTGTCGAAGTGTTCTATATCCATAAAGAGGTAGAAAAGTGAGAATAAGAATATCATGGTCTAATTGAGGTCACATATCATCTTTCGATCTTGGACGAGATATTTAATAGTGACCCTTAGTGAGGGTTTCGGTTGTAGGATTATCATGACAATCCGTACTACAGACCATGTGGATATGATTAGGTCGCAGTGAATTTACTTCTGGTAGGTCACACGGGGCTTGTTGAAGATCACATCAATTAGACACAACTTCCCGACAATATTATATATTTGAGGTTCATCTTTTAGAGATATTTTTCTTTATCTTTTAGAGTTTTCTTGGTGCTAGAGAGTCATAGATGTAAGTAATAAATGAGAAAACATGATTTATCTTTGATAACGTGATCAGGGATGGATATGATTAAGTTTTTCTTTATATTTTCTATTGATTATCTAGTTTCGCGCCCACTAGAATTTTATAACTTCATACCCATAAAATTTTGAATATAAATTCATGTGTTTGTCCGTGTCTACGACTAAGTGTCTTTCTTATAAGTATGAGTATTAATGGTTACCTACTTATATGACTTGTCTACATGCATGAGATCATTATTACATTTTACGGCATATGTATTTGTAAGATCCTTATTAAATATATTGAGCCATGCATTTTTTATGATTGTTATCGTTTTATATAGATTAAAGGTCTAGTTTTTATATTAAATATTTTTAACTAGTACAATTTTTTTGTTACCTACGATCACGATTTTAAACCTATTTAGAATATTCTAAAAATATATTGATAAAATGAGAGAAAGAAACAATTGAAATTAGTGATGGTTTGGATGGCCCAATATTACACTCAAATGTGCTGATTCTTCAATGAAAGATTTCTTTGATAATGATATCTTTCTTTCTTTTTTAATTTTTTTAATCAATTTTAAGTAAATTGAATATATGTGTATATTATTATATTGAGATATATATATAATAAATAGCATCATCTATATTCCCTATTTTAGTTGCACACAAACACCACCCTCCACAATTCCCTCCCACTTTCCCAAATTGAATTCAAAATCTATTCACTTTACAACCTTTTTTCCACTTTCCAAACACAACCTTTTTACAGTCAAAAATCAGAAAAATACCTCAAAAAGTGCCGTGAAAAACACTGTACATTTGCACCATCCACAGATCAAGCTTCAATATTTTGGGGGGGAATATTTTTAAATTAAATTTCGAACCCTAAATCCTTCCAAAAATCAAATTGAAATAAAATATTTTTATCGTGGAATATGAAGCAAAGGTGAGATGAAAACCATTCAAAATATGGAAAAATTATGTGAGAATGGACAAATATTGTTAACTAATGTTTGTCTCGTTTTAGGAATCTCCGACAAATAGCCTTTGGAACAAAATTCAAATTCAAAACAAAAATAAAAATAAATAAAATCCTTTTCTGAGATTTGAACCCAATCGCTTTGGACATTTTCATTACGCTGTCAACCACCATTAACCTCACGTCGGTTCAGCGAATTTGAGCCGTTGTTTTATTCAGGAAACAAAAGAGCCGTTAACTAACGTCGTTTCAGTTGCATGTTTCCCTCGAATCATGACATACACAAAAAAAGGTAAACTACGTATTTAGTCATCTAATTATCACTTTAGTTTCGTTTTAGTCACTCATCTGTTTTTTTAAATCATATCTAACATTATGTTTTAGTTTAGTTTTGGTCACCCTCCGTTAAAAAATAAATAAAATTACTAACGTGACAACTTTTTATTTTATTTTAATGAATACGTGACATTATCTTATTATGACATGTCAGCATCATCATTAAATTTTTAACGATAGGTGATTAAAACAATACTAAAACATAACTTTAAGTATAATTTTGAGAAAATAATAATTGAATAACCAAAATAAAATTAAAATGATAGTTGGGTGACTAAATATGTAATTTATCCTAAATAAAATTACAGTGGAAAATCATATTAAGAAGTGATAATTTATATAAAATTTAACTGAGAAAGTATAAAATAAGAACAAGAATATTTGTTTTTTCTTATTTAAATAATTTGTGATTAGTTAACACGAATAAAATTTAAAAATATACTATATAATTTGTTGATGGAGTTTTGGAAAAGCAAAATATCTCAAAATAAATGAATGAATCTCAGTGATAATATTCTCTTTGTATATGAATCCTTATTTTAAACGGAGAATACATACCTACTTTTAAAAAATAAATTAAAAAATCGCTTTCCGTATAAAAGATAATATGAAAATATTAACTAAAATATGAGGTTACGAGTATTGAGACGATGAGATTTGTATTTTAAATTTATTAAATTGTGATAACTTAGTTTTATCTCGAGATTAATTGTGTATGTTAATAGTGGGATTATTTTTAGAAATTTATAAATATATCATTTAGTTTAAAAATAATTATAAATATGTTACTGATCGTTAAGATATTAGATGAAGTTGTGACGTGATATAATGATAATTTTAGTTCTTAAAATTTATATAATTTGTACATTTAATTTTGATCCGAAATGATTTAATAAATTTAATCTTTTATTTTCAGAAATTCTATCATTTTAGTATCTATTATTTTCTTAAGTTATTTATTCTTTTTTGAAACATTATTATAATTTTTTGTTACTTTTCTAATATAATAACAATTTAACAATATCTGTTTAGCTTTTTGTGGAAGAATACAATTTTTCAACCGCTAATTTATTTGATAAACTTGCTTGGTTTGACAATATAGTATTAAAAAAATAATAAGTTAATAAATTTTTTAAATATGAAGGATTTTATTGAATATTTTGAATTATGACCAAATTGTATAATTTATTCATTTATGAATTTAAAATGTTATTTTATCAATTACAATAAACGTACGATTCATTTTTAACAACATAATATTTTATTACAATAATATTTTAATTAAATGCTTTATTTGTACTTTTTTTAGAAAAATATGACTGATTTATTATTTTGTAATAAGTACAATACATTATATGTTCAAAGATAACGCACAAACTCCTGGTATTTTTAATGTTTGAACCTTAGAATTCAAGAAATAATAACAATTCATTTACTACTAAAATCACTTAATTTGTGCTCATTCAAGACTTAAGTGATCTTAAATATATTTTCTCCTTATTTTAAGAAAAAATATTTATTGAAGATAATTCGAATTACTTAAAAAAACTCAATGGCTAATTTTGACTTTTTTTCTTTGTTATTGTAGTTGGATGGATTTTTTTAAAAAAAATTTAGCTAGATGGAACTTAAATTAATTATTTGGTCCATGGAAGAAGTTTAATTAAAGATATTTTTTTGACAAAAAGTTTAATTAAAGATATGAAAATGATTAGCACATTAATTCAACATAATAAATATTGCTCCACACTATTCTAAATCTTCTTATATAAAACCTAAATCTTCTGCAATACACATATTTGATTAAAATCACATTAGTATTTTTTTAAGCGAATGCATGTTCAAAGTCACATAAAATTGGTATCTTTGATCAATTGATCTATTAATAGATTTAGTATTTTTTAAATAAAAACAACTTGTTAGATTTATATATAAAAACATAAAGGCAACATGAATCAAATAATCTTAATGATTAAATGAATTGTTCTTATTATCAAAGGTTTTAGGTTTGAACATGATGTTTATATGAATATTTGTACATTTATTATAAATGATTAAGAATTTTTTTATAAATTTGATATTTTAGCAACCTAAATTAATAAAAAAACATAAAAGCTAAAAGAAAAAATAAAAAAATAGTATGGCATTGATGCAACGCCGTGAAAGAACAAAAGGATGGCGTTAAAGTCAAACTGAAAAAACTGTCCCCTGTGTATATATATAATCAACAGCTAAGCAGTGTTACAAAGAAAAGAGAAGAAAGAAAAGAAAACTCAGCTTTTAAAGTCTGAGAGAAGAAAAGGGTTTCAAGATCAAGCTAGGAGGAAAATAACTGTGAGACAATTCTAACATTTATCAAAGTTCTTATCTTTATTGTTCAAATTTAAATTTCTGGGTTTCTGTATTTATTTTCATTTTCTTGCTTCGGTTTTTGGTTTTAAGATGGCCAATGTGGTTTGATCTGTTTCACTGAACTTTCCCCTTCCTCTTTTGCTGTCATTTTAAGGTTTTTTTTTGTCATCAGGTTTTCTGTGTTTTTTTGCATGTTTCTTATTAATGTAAGCTATTTTAAAGGCAACTTTTTGGGGGTATTTTTTTGCGAAAGTTTGCTGAGAAATGAAGAGTTCTGGTAATTCTCTCGTTTTCTTTCTTTTTTATCCATCTGGTGTTTTGACAATACTGGGTTTTCTCATTTTGGTGTAGAAGTGTTGGATTTGTGTTCCTTTGTAGCGTTATTAAGTAAAGTGTAAAGTGCACCCCTCATGTTTGTTTTATGTGAATGCTTGCCAGTAAATATATTTGAAGTAGAGTTTGCATTAGAGGTTAAATTCCAAATTATCCCACAAAATCCAATTCTACGTTCTTCTTTGGAAAATCCCTTGGTCACCTTCTTTGTATCCCAAGGTTGAAAAAAAATGAAAATATTGCAAGGTTTCGAAAACAAAAGGTATACCATGGAAGAAAAGATTTTTATCAATTGATATGCATATTATGACTGTTGGAAAGCAGCCACATCAACAGAAAACTAGATAGGAGTGAATGTGATGTAATTGCTGTTAATTTTGGTCAGGATTGCATGTTTTAGCCGCAGATGTGGAGTTTATATTGCCTATCATGTGCCGATCTACATGAAAAATAGGTTTATTCCAGTATCTGGGTTTTCAGTCGATGAAACTTGTTATAGATCTCTTATAATCATGTAATACTTGTCCTCCTTTTTAGAGATTTTTTTTTGGCAGCTTGAAATTGCCTGCTGAGGCTAGTTTTGATGTCATGCACGTTCAGCGGTGGTCCCTTTCTTCATATTCTCAAAACATCTTATGCATATCGAGACAATGCCGGAATGAATTATCTGTCTTTCGTTTTGTTTTTCTATTTCCATGAAGTTCCATCATATGTTTTTGTGATTGAATGAAGATTCCTAATGCAGTGCGATGGGGAGGGAACTCACAGATGTGCGCATGGACGATAAGCCAAACGGTGCAGTGAAATCAAATGGTAGTCGAAGAGTATGGCAAGGGATCAAGTCAAATAACTATGAGGTCAAAAGATGCGCCGTGGAAAAGTCGGTCCTTGAGAATGGTCATGAGAAGCAAGATGTTCTAGCTGTTAAAAGCACAAATTTCGGTACCAGCACCCCTGAAGGGAAAAATGAAAAGGCTGAAGATCAGAAATTCACTGATATCAAGAAGTTAAGCACTGCTGCATCAAAAATGGGTGCAAATGTCACAGAAAATGTTAACTCTACTATCTCCCCTACTGCTGGAAAGGATTTGGAGGTAACTACAATTCTCAAGTAGGGATGAAATTTTTTATCCGGTGAATACAATATGGGTTTCATTGACTTGAATCTGATCCAATCTGAGATGTAATCCGGTTAGGATAATGCTGACTGATTAGGAAGGCAATAGGAGATTTCCAAATATGGTTGTAGGGACTTTTCTGAAGGAAACTTAGCAATAATGTTATTATTATCTGTGGTTTACAGTGTTTTTGACCTGGATATTTTGATGATATTATGATAGACAATAACCGATATTGTTTCGTGCATGAAGCTGATCTTTTATATTTTGACCATTTCTTTCAGCCAGATAATCCTACTACTCCTATGATGTCAAGGAAGCCAATGCAACCTTATGAGAGGAAGCATCCTGATGAAGAAGATAATCGGTCTGTCGCTTCCTCGTATCCTCTATTAATTTGTCGTTACCTGTGCTTTTTAAAAGAACTATATCAAGGGACTGCTTTCGGTCCTACCTGATCCGTACATCCATATTTCTCTTTTATTTGCTAATCAGTTTTAGGGGAAGGGTTTGTGGAGGTGGAGGTGGAGGTGCAAGTGTCATTTATTGTTTTAGTCGAGTTTCCCTTAACCCTGTCTAGTATTTCTGCACATGCTCGAACTGCAAGATTGAGGGTAACTATTGGAACTTCTCCAACTTTTAGAAGTGCCCAACGTGCCGAGAAGCGTCGGGAGGTCTGTTCTTAGCCCAAAAGACTAAATTCGGATTCTATTTAAGTACTGTCTGAGTCATCTGTTTTAGTTATCCTCATTGTGTGTGTATATATTTCATCCAGTTTTACAGAAGTTAGAGGAAAAACACCAAGCTTTAGAGGTTGAGAGAAGCCAGTGGGAGGCGAGGACCAAGGTAAGAGGCATCTTAGATGTCTTTACCTGATATTTATGTCAATCATTCTCCTCAGGCAGTGATATATATGACATACGTGATATAAATTTTAAAAATTAACAAAATGAAACCTCTTTACTTTCTTGTAGGAAGAGCAGGAAGCAGCTCTTAAGCAGCTTAGAAAGAGTATGGTTGTCAAAGCAAATCCAATACCTAGTTTCTACTACGAAGGGCCGCCGTCGAAGGTTGAACTGAAGAAGGTATGCTTTTGAAGTTTTTGTCTTTGTTTCTTTGTGTGCACTTGAAGCGCAAATAAAAGAGAAAAAAATCATGGACAAAGGATGAAACCTGGTTAAATCGTTTAGGATGGTGTTGGTGCAGAGGAATTAATATATGATTTGAAAACCCAAGGCTTAAAGCTACCTGAAGTGACACAATTAATAATCGAAGAAGGCTCTCGACCGAGCCATATCAACTTGCTGCAATGAAAAACTCAGAAAATAAATTTCCGGTGCATACACCTCTGTTCGAAAGCTTTTATATGTTTTTCGCAGCTTTCATTCTTGCTTTTATTTCATTTCAGCTGCCACTGACTCGGCCAAAGTCACCAAATCTTACCCGGAGAAAGAGCTGCGGCGATGCAGTCAACTCAACTCAAGATGAAAAGGCAAAAACTTGCTGCCAAGCCCACCGCCACAGCTTCGGCAACCATATGGAACGATGCACTACCACAAACGAGGTCAAAAGCAGTGGTCAGAACAGCAACAGCAATGGAACTCGCAAGGTGAAAGATCGAGTGAAACAAGTAAAAGAGATGAAAAAAGATGCTCCAACAAAAATCGCAGAGCAGAGTAACACGAACATCGTAGTTCAGTCATGAAAATCTCTGGGCTCTTGAAGCATGAAAAAAGATGTTTTCAGTATTGCCATATGGATGGTCCTTAAAGAGAGTAGCCGGATATGAACTACGATTCACTGTAATTCTCTTTTGATTTCATATGAGGTTTTTCTTTACCCTAAAAATATAGGGTAAACCACACAAATAGTCACTCATATTTGGCAAGTAAATTTTCATTTTTCCATTGAAGTTTTAAAACTAACGAATATGTAACTAACGTTATTGGTTTATAATAAATTGATCACTCATTATTAACAAATGTTATTAAAAATAATAGAATATTGATGAGACAATTTACAACAAATTGATCACTCATCGTTAATAGATGTTACTAAAAATAATAGAATATTGATGTGGCAATTTACAACTATGTTTGATTTTAGGAGATATTCTTTTAATAAAATCTATCTCTCTCCTTTTCTACCCTTCTTTCTTTTCTGTGTTTCATCATCTTCTATGAGAAACAATATGAATGCTAAACAGATCATCTTCTTAATAACATCCATGGTTTTTCTTCTTTAATAAAATAACAGTTGTTTTTATTTTCCTTGAGAGAGGATAACCTTGCTTGCAGGAGTCAGTGGCAGAACCATAAATACTTTTTAGAGTGGGAACATATGTGTTAACAATATAATTTTTTTGAGTAGAGTGTTGTAAAAATTCGATAATTTAGAGTTTTGAATGAGAAATTGATTCAAACGTTGTTGAGGAAAATCTGGAACCAATTGTTGGTTTGTAGATGTGCAAACGTGTACGATATGAGTAACGTGAATATCCGAATCGGTTTAACTCTTTGTGGGCTTGCGGTTATTTTAACACAAATGTGAAGTATTTTTTTCCTCAAATAGAGTGTATATTTTCAAAATTTGTTTTGGAATCAAAAGGATAGATATTAAAAAGTTCTTTTAATCAAAACAACAATTTTGAAAATTGCTTAATTGTTTTGATTCTCATTAATGCTTCATTAGGTCAAAAATTTTCAATATTTCACTATGTGAAATTCATATAAATACTGTGTTAACCTACTAGGTTAAAAACAATTAAAAAAACAACTCAAAAATCAATTCAAATGAATTCTTTTCTCTAGTTTTTGGTGATAGGCGAAGACAAGGAATAGTTCGTGATCTCGACAGTTGTGTTACTATGTGCTATTCATCTCGTTGTTGTATCCTGGAGACAGACGACCAAAGATCTCTAGCACCAAAGAGTGACCGAAAATTTGTCTTAAGAAAATTGCGTAATTATATGCCTAACTTATTTCTATTCATATATTTATGATTTTCTATTCATATTATTTAATTGTATATTTTCTATGTTACTAATTATCTTTGTTTTATTCTTGATTCATGTATACGAATTTTACGATGAGATCCTGTCGAGGAATTGATTGTCATTTGCTGCGACTTGTATGAATTACCATGTAAACAAATTGTGGATCTATAAAATGTTTGATTTTTATTTTCTTTTCGTCTCGGATTGTTATACCTCTAACAATCTTAAGACGAATTTAAAAATTATTTTCTGAGACTAACAGATCCAATTTTCATCTACCTTATTGCTTCATCGATAGCTTGTATAATCTGTGATGATTATCGAAGGCTATAATATGTTTGTGTTTCTAAGGTTCATTATTATTATTAAACAAGCTGCTGCCGTTACCTTTGCAAAACCACTGTGCCGTTAGTTGAGAATTGGTAATGAGGTAAGATGTATATTCTTGTTATTTATCCCTAATATATGCGTGTCTGACTTTGACAATTTGCCAGATTTGGTGCATAAGTTATGGCGTTAAAAATTTGCTGCTACAATTCAACGCCTTCTTTTACTCTGTTTGGTTTTTGAGGTTAATCTATGATCAAGCGGATGATGGTGACGAACGAACAAAGCTGGGACTTAATGCAAGTCAGTTCAATGAAATTCTAAAAGAATTCAAGTAAAGGTTGTCACGCGTTGGTGTACGACTAGCATGCAAAAGCTTTAGCAAATTGTGATTCAAAGAAATTTGCAGGTTCGACAAATTTTGATCAAGAATTTAAGTTGGGATTCGTCACTTTGACTTTTGTGGATGCACCCCCTTAAATATTGATAGTTATTTTTTTTCCTTATTGACAATGATGATGTCAATTAAGTAAGTGAAATTTAATATTTCACTTTAATATGAAATTATTCGGAAATTTTGAAAAAAATTGTGATAAACACATTTTCGGGATTTATCATGTCGTTTTAACGAGTTTGCTTAATTTCAAAGTGGACAAATCTATTTAATAGAAATTGTCATTAAAGTAACGTTGGTTACTAAGTTTGAAATATTATTTCTTTTTTATAATAAAAATTGAAAATAAACGAGATTGATTTGAATTTGCGCAATGGTACATGAGTTTTTTGCAAATTGTTTTGCGAACTCACGTAGGAACTAACTTGTGTAAATACTCAAATGCATGGTGACAAGTGCATGATTTGTTTTGGCAAATCAAAGAATAAATGTGATTCTTTGGCAATGAAAAAAAAATCATATTTGTTTATTGCCTATAAATGTAGAGCAATTAAATAATCAATGTTATTCTTTCTATATTATGATATTATTGCAGAATATCATTATGGTAAAATTTCGCCCATAAAGATACACATGAGTATTAATCATGATATTGTTCATGATATTATTGTTATGGTATTTTTAACATATAACATTTGACCTATTAATAAGAAATATTAAATATGTCACCAATAAAGAATACCTTTGGTATTTATAATTAATATTAAATGTTATAATAATTACTGTGTAAGTTTTTAGAAACATTATAAATTTTATTATTATACTAAAAATTTCTTTTGAGAAACTTTGTAGACACAAACAAACTTAAAGTTTAATCCAAAGCTTTTGATTATTGGGTTGTCAAAAGTAAAATGAAAGGATTAGTTCCTTTTGATTATTGTGTTGTCGAAAACTATATCAAAGGATTAGTTCCTTTCAAATTTTTGGGTTGGTAAAATTAAATGATTAATTGCTTTTGATTTCCGTTTATTAAACAAAATTGAGTTGTTGTGATATATATGTTTCGGGTTTTAGTGTTACTAATCACGTCAGTTAACAAAACATAAAGAAAATAAATCACTAGATTTTTTTTATCATTAGAATCTTGCATTGATTCTAACTTTGTAAGGAAAATAGATTGTTGAATTTATTTCCTTGAGAATCTTTAATGATTATAACCTTGTAAGGGAAATAGATCGTTGAATTTATTTCCTTGAGAATCTTAAATGATTCTAACTTTGTAAGGAAAATAAATTGTTAAATTTATTTCCTTAGAAATCTTAAATGAATTTAACTTTTTAAGAAAATAATAAATTGTTGAATTTATTTTCTTGAGAACATGGATGATTTTATCTTTTAAAAAAGAAATAAATTGTTAAATTTATTTTCTTGAGAATCTTAAATGATTCTATTTTGTAAAAGTTAATAAATTGTTAAATTTATTTTCTTGAGAATCTTGAATAAAAAAATAAATTAGTGATTGTTTTCTTATATAATTCTATTTTTAAAAATAAAATAAATCATTGTATTATTTTTCTGTTTTGTAAAAGAAAATAAATTGTTGAATTTATTTTCCTGAGAATTTCACATGATTCTGATCTGTAAAAGAAAATAAATCGTAGAATTTATTTTCCTATTTTGAAAAAGGAAATAAATCGGTAAATTTATTTTCCTAAGAATTTTGTATGATTCTGATATGTAAAAGGGAATAAATCGTTGAATTCATTTTCCTATTTTGAAAAAGCAAATAAATCGTTGGATTTATTTTCTATTTTGTAAAATGGAAATAAATCGTTGGATTTAGTTTCCTATTTTGTAAAATGAAATAAATCGAAACAAATCGTTTGATTTATTTTTCTGTTTTGTAAAAGGAAATGCATCGTTGGATTTATTTTCCTATTTTGTAAAAGAAAATAAATTATTAAATTTATTTTCCTGTTTTGTAAAAGGAAAGAAATCATTAGATATTTTTTTGGAAATCTTGTATGATTCTTGTTTGTAAAAGGAAATCAATTGTTGGATTTATTCTAATGATTTATAAGAGAAAATAAATCAGTGGATTGAATTTATTTTCTTGGGAATTAAATATGATTCTATTTTAAAAGAAATAAATAAATCGTTAAATTTATTTCTTTAAAATCTCGATATGTTTGTAAATAGAGGTCTTGAAAGTAAATTTATTTTGGAAATTGAATTCATGTCGTAATATGGGTTTACCTTATCTACTTTTACAAACAATAAGGAATAAATATTTTATTACCTTCATTTGTGATAGAAAAAAGTATTGCTATATATTTGCTATAGAGAAATATATTCTCTATAAATTCAAAGTTGGAAAACAACTTAATATAATCATTAAGATGGTAAGAAGTGATAATGGTAGTGAATTGAACCATTAATTGGTCAATAATATGCACAACATGATACTATTCATAAAGTGACAACATCATGGGGTAGCAAAGCGAAAGAATTAATTCTTAAAGGAAATGATGAATGCAATGCTAAGAAGTTATGGGTTGCCACAGAACATGTGGGGGAAAGCTGTTTTTTCAGGTAATTACCTTTTAAATAAGGTTATCTGAAAAAAATTGACAAGACACCATATGAGTTATGGAAATGTAGAAAATCTTTCTAAAATTACTTAAAAATGTGGGGGTGTCTTGTAAAGATAATGATCTCATTATCAAAGGAAACGAAATCCCAAATCGGTGGATTATATTGGCTATGTAGATTATAGCAAGACATATTGACATCTTGTGTATGAATCAAAGAATCTCAAGATTCACAAGAACATGATGAAGAAATCAAAGAATATCTCATTCTTTGAAAATATATTCCCTTATATAACTAGGAAAATGATTGAAGATATCAATAAAGATAAGTCTAGATGTTCAACGAAAGGTTGAAACAAAGATGTTGTCATTATGAAAAACCTCTGAAAAGCAATTATGAGAGAATTGAAATATTTCAAATATTCTTAAGAGTATATTTTTTATCCCAAGATCATGTTT